TTTCTCAATATTTCTACAGTAAAAGTTCCTGGTCTTTGGTACAGTGGTAGAGGGCAATCATGAGGTCATGAATCCAGTGAAATTAGTCGCACACCTTTTTACAGTAAAAAGTTACAGTAGACCAAAAGTGACATGTTTTGACCATTTTTAGGCTATTTTGGTCCAAAATGGCTACTTATAACTCCATATTTCTCCAAATTTCTACAGTAAAAGTTTCTGGTCTTTGGTACAGTGGTAGAGGGCAATGTTGAGGTCATGAATCCAGTGAAATTAGTCGCACACCTTTTTACAGTAAGAAGATACAGTAGATCAAAAGTGACATGTTTTGACTATTTTGGAGCTATTTTGGACCAAAATGACTACTTTAAATCAATATTTCTCAATATTTCTACAGTAAAAGTTCCTGGTCTTTGGTACAGTGGTAGAGGGCAATCATGAGGTCATGAATCCAGTGAAATTAGTCGCACACCTTTTTACAGTAAAAAGTTACAGTAGACCAAAAGTGACATGTTTTGACCATTTTTAGGCTATTTTGGTCCAAAATGGCTACTTATAACTCCATATTTCTCCAAATTTCTACAGTAAAAGTTTCTGGTGGTCTTTGGTACAGTGGTAGAGGGCAATGTTGAGGTCATGAATCCAGTGAAATTAGTCGCACACCTTTTTACAGTAAGAAGATACAGTAGATCCCCGCGGCCACACTGCATTACACCTCGCGGACCACCAGGGGGCCGCGGACCCCACAGAGCAGACAGAGAGAGAGAGACGCGAGCAGAGAGAGAGAGACGCGAGCAGAGAGAGAGAGACGCGAGCAGAGAGAGAGAGACGCGAGCAGAGAGAGAGAGACGCGAGCAGAGAGAGAGAGACGTGAGTCCGCGTGTCTATGGTCCGCGCTGGGAGCCCAGACGGCAGTGCGTTCACTGAGCGGAGGATGTAACGTAACGTTCGGTTTATCAAAACATATCACAATATTTAATGTATATTAAATAAATTCTAGTGAATTTCACCTAGATTCTTTCAGACATTAAAGACAAGATGTTATATAATAATTGTTTAATGAAAAAACAATTTTGCCACAAGCAACCAAAAGATGTGCCTCAGACAAGAATCGAACCGGGGTTCTCCAGGTCCCAGTCTTTGATGCTAACCATTGGGCCAACATAGCACCTCTGGGCTAGACAGGTTTGCACGCAGTCTTATACCTGAGCGTCTAAGTCACTGGCAGAGCTAAAGTGGACTTAGCCTGCCACCTTGTGGCGATAAGATGTACTATTTTTCACGCAGCTGCGTGATATCCGAGAAGCGTGAATGAAGACGACAAAACGGAATGGGACCTACTGTAATGACAGTTTTTAGAGTAATTACATTAAAACCAGCCGCAGCAAATACACGGACGTCAAAGGCCTTTTATCAATGCAGAGACGACCTTCTGACGCCATGCTGAGCTTTGTGAAGGTCCCTGCTGTCTGTCACACCCTTGTGTCTTTCGTATCTTGCATCTGTATGTCTGCATTTCTACCATTGTCTGTCTGTTCGCACCTCCATGCCCTGTGTCTGATTGCCTCACCACAGGGCATGGCGCCTGCGCTCCCTATGCGCCTCCTTCACCGGTGGCCCCCTCCCATCTGTTGTGGGCGTGACTGTCTTTCTATGTAAACAGGAAGCCTGAGCTCTGCGGGCCAGAGCTGGGTATGCTGCCTTTTGGATATGCTAGCTCTCCGCACGTGTGTTACAATAAACTTACGCTCCTGATTTAAGACAAATACTTTTGGGCTTTCTCCTTGCTTTGGGGTATGTAATTCTACAACAATACTCAACCTAAATCCATGAATCAGATCCTCTGCAGATGAGTCCTAAACATGGACGTCGGAACTATTTTCTGAGAGGGGGGGCGGGTTTTTGTTGGGAGAGTCGAGGGAGAGACTCATACTTGGATTACACTGGATAATAACATACCATCTTAATTGTTAAGAAAAACAAAATAAACAATATATATCAAGCGAGTCACTTATCAAACTGAACTTTTTTTTTTTCAATACGCATTCATGCGTCAGTCTCTCCGGTGGCTTCATTGTGTTGTGTAGCCCAGTGACGTGCGGTCAGATGAGGCAGGCAAGGCCCTCACCTAAGATCATAGAAAGAAAAGTAATAAAATGGATACAATAATGTTTGGTCACTTTATCAAGTGATTTGTGCTGTGCCTTATTTCATTTATTTATACCTTGAAATCGCAGATTTGACAGAGCGGTGCTGTGAGGCGAGCCTCTCTTGGGAGACGTAAAAAGCAACAGCTCACAGGGAGAGTCCTGTGAGGTGCTATCAAACTGTTTTCTCTGTTTATCACAGTTTAAAAAGTCCAAAAATATTTAATTTACAATCAACATGTTTACATTTAAGAGGATGGCTCATAAATTGTGTTTTTGAAGCAAATATGGGTCTTAATCGCGCTCAACCACTGCTTGTAAGTGAGGAAAGCCTCAAGGGGGCGCTTGTGAGCCCAAACTTTGGCTGCATCCAAGTCCATCAGAAAGCTCCTTTCTTGTTCTTCTTCTGCTAAGGGCAGCTACAGGTTTGGCTAACATACCTATAATACATTTTAAGATAATTTAAAATGCACTTAGAGTAATGTTTTGCTTCCAATGATGATATGAATCATAAGAAAAGGAGGTGAAGGGTAAGGTTGAATTTAGAAATTGGATTTACCCGGGAGTCGGCTGCAGCAAAACTCGGAGTTTACGGAGGAGACACCCGTTTTTTTTACTTTTTAAAACTCATTGAACTTATTTCCAAATGGAGGATTACATGTCTGTGCTCAAACTATTATCTGGACTTAAACATGAAACTGGTCCTAACTGAAGTGGTCTGTGCTGTTCATTAATACCTAAGGTAAGGCCCATAACACACTTTGTACTTTTTACAAACGTTTGCGTTTTGTATGAGAAAACAATGCAGACATTAAATCATATTCTGCTGTAGCCAAACAAATTGTGTATAAGCCGCTCCTGTTCCTGTAGGTCCTGTTGGTTTATATGATGTATAATCATATGAACACATGATTGTTCCCCCACCGCACGTCACTGGTGTAGCCAGGTCTCTAATCTGCGCAAGGCTGAGAAAGAGCGCTCAGAGGCTGCGACAGATATTAGCCAGACAGAGCTTCATAAGCTTCTCCGACAGCATGGACCGGGTTTTGGGCTGCAAGGAACGCAGGATAGTAATAACTTCTCGCTCCCGGCACACGCGGAGGGGGTGCGGCCGCACCCCCAGCACCCCTAGTTCCGACGTCTATGGTCCTAAAATGTATTATTAATGTTAATAGTTAATAGCTGCCCCTATCAGTTCAGGTTGGTCCCTTGATAAACAACTGGCAGGCATCCATAGGTGTGAGACTGGCAGGACCAGGGGGGTGCGAGGCCCTACCGTGACACTTTATTTCACAGATCTTAGTAAAGTTTTCCCTGTTATAATATTTGACGTGAATTCAACACCGCTAATGCAAATGCTTTTATAATGTTTTTGATGTGGACATTCGTACTGAACATTGGCGATAGCAGCGCTCACACACCTGTCTCATTCCCGTTACTTTCTTCGTCTCTAACTCACTCAGATTTAGACACTGCTTAAGTTATCTGACCGCTCGTTCTCTCTGAAGGACCCCGCTGCGTGCACATAGCCGCCCTCGCGCCTGCCTGTTTACAGATTGCTTTTGGCGAAAATTTGACATACTTGCGACGGCCATGGTCGTGTGAACATACTTTTTAGTCTTTGGTTTTGAGGAAAGTAGCAAGTCTTTTCAAGTCAAACGGGTCAATTCCAAGTGAAATCACGAGTCACTGATGTTAAAGTCCAAGTCGAGTTGCAAGTCTGTTAGGATTTTCATCAAAATTATGACTCAAGTCCAAGTCATGTGACTCGAGTCCACAACTCTGCTAAATACTAACTGAGGCATATAAACAGTGTGTTGCTTTGGTAACTTCCACTTGGTCCGAGCTGAGACTGCTCAGTCCAGGTCCAAAAACATACCCTATAGGTAGTCCAGGGCTGAGATAATTTCATAAACATCACTATAAATAAACTGCATGTAGAAACAGAACAAGTCACAAAGTTATGAAGGCCAAAAACTAAAATAATAAAATAATAAAAATAATATACATAGCACAGCAGTTCTGTCTGGAGCCTGCAGCTTTATGAAGCCTGCTCCAACATGAACACGCTCCAAAGACCAGCAGTGGGTGAGGAGTCAGCACACTCCACAAAGGGACGTGCTTTTTGCCACAGCGTTGAAGAATGCGGCGGGACAAGGCGCTGGAACGGCCTCAGGAGAAACGGCTGCTGTTTGTAGTTTTGTTTCTTTGAAGACCACCTTGAAAACAACATGAAAAGTGAATCTTAAGGGGCCATTCCTCTGCAAAAATTTTACAGAGTGAGAGCGCTGGATGTCAGACCCAGAAGCTAGCATGGAGCCAATTTCCTTATATGGGCATTAGCTCTGACGGCGTTCGCTTCTTGCCATAACAAGGGCAGATGTGTTGCTAGGATGGTTACTAAGGTAAGCTGCCGTTTTCCCCAAAAATAACCTGGCATCTGTTTTCTTAATACTTGCATGGCTCATAACTGACACTAATTAACAGCACTTAATTAGCTGTTAATTAGTGAGGGCTAATCTGAAGTGTTCAAAAAAGTAGAATATACAGACATCAAAATGTTTAATTATATTTTTTATTTTGTTTTTTTGTATGCAGTGGGGTTGGGGGGGGGCATCAGTAGGGTTAGTTTTACCCTACTGATGATGTGTTGTTGCAATAGTAACAACTCATCATTAGTAGGTTTCAGCTTGGTGGGCTACTAGCTACAGGTAGTAGCTCACCAAGCTCTGGAGGGAGGGGGGGGAGTGGTCTTCCCGTGGCACCCGCGCAGCACCCACTGCTGTTGGAGCGGGATCCTGAGGGAGGGTGGTGTCTTACACAAAATCCACCACATCAAACTGCTGCTGTGGCTCCTCATCCTTTGCCCCCCTCTCCTTCTTTTCCCCCCTCTTCCTCTTTGTCGCTCTCCTTCTTTGCCTCTCTCTTTTTCTTTTCCTCTCTCTTCTTCTTTGCTTCTCTCTCCTTCTTTGCATCTCTCTTCTTCTTTGCCTCTCTCTTCTTCTTTGCCTCTCTCTTCTTCTTTGCCTCTCTCTTCTTCTTCTTCTTTGTCCTCTTCTTCTTCTTTCTCCTCTTCTCACTCCTCCTCGTTCGACAGACATCGTAGAAGCAGAAGAGGAGGAGGAAGAGGACGAGTAAACAGGGGAGGACAACCCACAGGTCCAGCCATTTGTTGGCGCCGATGGTGCTGTTTCCTGCCCCAGACGGGACCTCGGGCTTCTCCTCGCTTTCGCTCCCGTCCTCCTCCTCGGTCCCGTTCCCATTGCTTGTGTCGCTTGCTTCAGGGTTGGTCCCGTTCCCATTGCTTGTATTGCTTGCCTCAGGGTTGGTCCCGTTCCCTTGGCTTGTAATCGTTCCTTCAGGTTTGGGCACATGTCCCAGGACAGCCACATGTACGGTGGGGTTCATACACTCGAGCCGGGTGACATCCCTTCCGTAAACCAGACGGTTTAGGAAGTATACAGACCCCTCCGTCTCAACCCGTTTGGTCCCACAGCCAAACATTGGGATCCGGATCCCCAAATGAGTGTCGTTTGTCCAGGCCAGTTTGCCAGTTTCGCTGCAATCTGGGGAGTTGGAACCACTTAGACGCATACGGTAGAAATTCTTATCAATGAATTCCCCCCGAGAAAACACAGCGTCCATTTCCAATGCCTGCAGATGAGAGTAGGCTCCACATTAGTAGTAGCAGGAGGAGGAGCAGGAGGAGCAGGAGGAGCAGGAGGAGCAGGAGGGGCAGGAGTAGCAGGAGTAGCAGGCGGAGCAGGAGGGGCAAGAGTAGTAGTTGGAATAGGACGCGCCCCTACTAACCCCTGCTGCATACACAGCATCAGCACCATCTCTCAAAACGTGGAGACTCACACGTGGAGTGAACGCGTGGATTAAACGTGGATAAAACGCGGAGTAAACACGTGGATTAAACGTGGATAAAACGCGGAGTAAACGCGTGGATTAAACGTGGATGAAACGCGGAGTAAACACGTGGATTAAACGTGGAGTAAACACGTGGATTAAACGCGGAGTAAACACGTGGATAAAACGCGGCGTAAACACGTGGATAAAACGCGGAGTAAACGCGTGGATAAAACACGTGGATAAAACGCGGAGTAAACACGTGGATTAAACGCGGTGTTGTGGAATTTCGTGTAACCGCGTGGCAGGTCCCGGGTAGATCTGCTCAATTAGTGCTCATTCTCTCTCACATTTATAAGATAATACAAACAGAAGGGCCTATCTATGGCGTCTCTGAGTCCGAGATTAAGTGGCAGCTATTGCCAAAACCCCCCTCTCTTCTGACGTCTTACTCTGATAGACTCTGATATTACTCTGATATTAGGAAGAATTGTCAGTATGACCGGTGAGCCCGCTCTTCTTGCCCCTGATATCAAACTAGTATCTGCCTCCACCCCGTCATCGGCCTCGCGTCCCTAGAACAACAGTTTAGTTAGTTTCAACAGATTTACTGGCTTTGAACTTTTTCCCAGATATCCCATTTCATCATTAGATTCATTCTTAAATTAAATTGATTTATAATCCCAGTAAGATTTCTATAACAGCGGAGTAAACGCGTGGATTAAACGTGGATAAAACGCGGAGTAAACACGTGGATTAAACGTGGAGTAAACACGTGGATTAAACGCGGAGTAAACACGTGGATTAAACGCGGAGTAAACACGTGGATTAAACGTGGAGTAAACACGTGGATAAAACGCGGAGTAAACACGTGGATTAAACGCGGAGTAAACACGTGGATTAAACGCGGAGTAAACACGTGGATTAAACGTGGAGTAAACACGTGGATAAAACGCGGAGTAAACACGTGGATAAAACGTGGAGTAAACACGTGGATTAAACGCGGAGTAAACACGTGGATTAAACGTGGAGTAAACACGTGGATTAAACGCGGAGTAAACACGTGGATTAAACGTGGAGTAAACACGTGGATAAAACGCGGAGTAAACACGTGGATTAAACGCGCAGTAAACACCGGGTAATCGCGTTGGGCTAATGCGTGGACGTTCCACTCACAGACACTCGGGCGGCACGGTGGCTGAGTGGATAGCACTCTCGCCTCTCAGCAAGAAGGTCCTGGGTTCGAATCCCGGTTGGACCAGGGCCTTTCTGAGTGGAGTTTGCATGTTCTCCCCGTGTCTGCGTAGGTTTCCTCCGGGTGCTCCGGTTTCCCCTAACACTAAAAATATGTACAATAGGTCAGGCATGTGCCTCCTGTACTGGCACCCCCACTCCCAAAAATAACAATTGTAAACCGCTTTGAGACTCCAATGTGCAGTGAAAAGGCGGTATATAAATAAAGATTACTTACTTACTTACTCTGGAGCGGAGGTCGAGCGGGGGCACCCCGGGAGTCGGACAATTGGCACACGGGACTACAGCAAAGGCAGGGGAAACCCTGCCTTGTCTGTAAGTTTTAGACCACCCAGGCTCTGCTTGCAGTGTTTCTTTCGGCCCGTTTTCTGCCGTTTGTATTTTGTGTTCAGGAGCAGCCAGATCAGAGGGGCCTGTTCAAAGACGTGACGCGCCGGGACTTGACGGGGATTTCCCTTTTTTTAATTAATTTTATTGTTGCACATTCTTAATCTGTATTTTAATATTTGTAATTAAATATTTTCAATTGGTATTCACTGTCTTGTTTTTGCTGGGCCAGTTGTTCTGACTGTTGTTTAGGGTTAATAGTTTTATGGTAAAATATTTTATTTTGTCAATCACTCGGCTACATTATTGGCTCTCCTGACCAGAGGCTCAGACCTACAGAGCTGAAACTCACATTACTAACAGTTGGTAATGGCCTGAGCGTAATGGTGTGAAAATACACAAATAGTACAACTCTAGAGCGGTACCTATGGAAGGCTTCTGACCTAAACTTTTCCAATCCTCACCAAAGTCGCACAGTCTGTCATGGTTTTAGTTTATTTCCTGTTTTATTTTGAAATGTGTTATTCCTGTGTCTTCTTTGGTTGTACTTCCTGTTGTCTGATTACCTGCCCTGCCCTCATCTGTCTCACCTATGTCTCGTTAGTCTTGTATTTAGCCCTGTGTGTTCCTTCACTCCCTGTTCCGTCATTGTCTTTCCTAGTCTGTTTTAGTTCTGTCCGTTCCCTGTGTTTTTGGTAGGTTTTGATTTGTATTACTTTCATTAAATCCATCATTTTGCAGTTTTTGCCTTTTGGGCCTCATTTGTTTTTCACCCACGTGACAGTCAATTCTTTACCTTCGTGTAAGCAAAATACGACTTTACATAGAAGGTACATGTCCCGGAGGTGACCACTAGGGGCGCACTGAATCCTATTAATGAGCTTTCCGTGCCTCATCCTGGTCCAATTGGCCTGCGAATTCGTCGGCGAGTATGCCGCTTAATGCTTGTGGGACTGGCGCCCGGGAGGCGGTCGCAAGAGTGGCGAGGCCTTTCATCGCCGCTTGTGGCTTTAATTTAAATCATTTTTTTGTCACTACTGCACCAGACCAGGAGACCCAGAACCTGTCGATTCTGCAGATGTTTGGGACGTCCATGGTGCGAGGTACCAGTTCAATTCTATTCTATTCCCCTTACTTTTGTACAGCCCTAAATCACAACAGTAGTTATCTCGGAGGACTTTACAAAACCCTCAAATTTGCCAACACAGATCAGAGAATCCAACACAGAGACATTGGTCCATACGGGGCAGATCACCAATGTCCATAAATGTCCATTTATGCAACCAAAGTGTTGAAACAAAAGCATCTTTAAACTGTGTTAATGTCATAGAGCACAGGCGTCAAAGTCAAGGCCCTGGGGCCAGATCCGGCCCACGAGACCATTTCCAGTGGCCCCTGAGATTACTTTAAATTATTTTATTAAATTGCAGCAAGGTATTAGGCGACAATGGCATGTTATCCATTACTAAGAAAACAACCATAAAATGTAATTCCATAAGAAATGTCAAGCCAACATGTCATTAGAAGTTAGTATTATGTTTTTTACGATTCTTCAATTACATTTCTTCTTAAAGATATGAAGCAGGATTTCCCCAATTTTCTTAGGAAAGAACTGCCCTCTCCACTTTTTGAACAAAACTCTCTCTCTCTGGATTTTCACTTTGACAATTCTGTTCATTAAAGTCCAGTCTTAAGGCTGACATCATCAACACACAGACTCAAGTAATCAAAAGTTAGAACCAGGCAGGGCAGAACGGGACTGAGCGATTGTTTGTATTTGTTTGTACATTAAATATTTAAAAGAAAAGTTTGGGAAATGATTGGATTCAAATGACTTTTCGCTCCAACAGTTTGGGAGTTATTTAAAGTGTTTTATTGTAATGTTCTGGTCGTGGAGCACAATGCATCTCTCTGAACACAGATGTTTTTCAGCCTCTAACCAATAGACTACAGTGCGTGTGTGTGTGCTTGCGCGTGTGTGCGTGCGTGTGTGTGAAATGACTGATCAGCATCACTTGATTTGCAATCCCACTTGATTTGCAATTTGTGTGTGTTCTTGTAATTTTCATGCAAGATTACGTACTTTCCGGACTATTAACCGCTATTTTTGTCTAGTCCTTTGATAGTTGTGTTTTATTGGGATAGAGTTGGGTGTGTGGCAGAGTTTATGGACTTATTTTTATGGTTTAGAGCAAAGGAAGGTTTCTCACCCATCATCTGTACTTCTTAGCAAGTTTTCCCGACGTTTCGTCCTCAAACCAGCGGACTTCTTCAGGGAATGAATTCTCAGACCGTGTGTTGGAGATTTATAACCTATGGGTGTGGTTAGAAGGGTGACAGTAGCTCAGTTGGTAGAGCATTGGCCTTTGGGCCTGAAGGTCGTGGGTTCGAGCCCACCGTAAGACCCACTTCACAACTCCCAATGATGACTGCTGTCGTTGTGTTCTTGGGCAAGATACTTAACCCCACTTTGCCCAAAGCCCCAACTGAAAGATCTCAGCTCCTGTGGACTCACCACCTGCAGGAGGACCCCCCCCCCCCGACCCAGAAATGGATCTAAATGGATCTAAGGTCTGTTTGATGTAGAAGGGAGCAGGTCTAACGACCCTGCTGAGGCTAACGACCCTAACTCCTTAGCATGTCACAGACCTATTATCTGCTGGGATGCTCAAGTGGAGTGCAGGTCTCACCCCTCCTAACTCATTAGCATGTCACTGACCTTGTCCCAAGTTAGGGTGTTGTTTTTAGGATGTCGTCATAGACGTCATGGTTTTTTTTTATTCAAACACAATTAATATAAGTACATTTATATTCAATAAATGTATAAGGTATAATATAGTGTTGGAATGTTTAATGTGAACATTGAGCAGCTCTTTATAGTTGCAGTATTGCCCATTTATGTTGAATCCATTTTTATATGGAAAGTTTAGCGCTTTACTTCATCCACTGCTTTTGCAGTTACTTGAACAAAGAGTTCAATTATTAAATACATTTTAGCATGATCATTTCCAGGTATCGGTCAATATCGGTATCGGCAGAAACCCATAGCTCTGGTATTGGTATCGGTAGTAAAAAAGCTGGATCGGTGCATCTCTAGTCTCAGCGTCTTGTGTAAATCACTCCTCTGGTACTGCCTCCTCCTGCTCCTCTCTGGTACTGCCTCCTCCTGCTCCTCTCTGGTACTGCCCCCTCCTGCTCCTCTCTGGTACTGCCTCCTCCTGCTCCTCTCTGGTACTGCCTCCTCCTGCTCCTCTCTGGTACTGCCTCCTCCTGCTCCTCTCTGGTACTGCCTCCTCCTGCTCCTCTCTGGTACTGCCCCCTCCTGCTCCTCTCTGGTACTGCCTCCTCCTGCTACCTGTCTGGCCTCCTCCTACTCCTCTCTGGTACTGCCCCCTCCTGCCCCTCTCTGGTGCTGAGTGGAGCGTGTATGTCTGGGTTATGCCGAGTTCAGCCTGGTTTGACAGTAGTGCTTTTTGTGGCGAGGTGAGGGAGCTCAGGGTCGGGCGGTCGTTACCCCTGATGGAGCGCCTCCATTAGCGGTCTTCAGGAGCTCCCTCAGACCTGTGACAAACTGCCTCCATCCGCCGGGGTTTACTCGGAGGCGCCCGATGAATATTTAAATGTGTGAAGCGAGCTGCGGTTTGAGCTGAGACCAAACGAATGGGGCTTTTTACTCGGAGCTCGGAGCTGAGGGCTTTTGAGAAGGATCAAAACAGATCAAAACAAATGCTTATCTTTATCTTGACGGCCACCACCTTATTGGCTCCACACTCAGTTATCATCGCCCACTGTTCAAGCAGAGTAGATGTTCTGTGAGTGATGGTGAGAGAGATGAGAGGATGGGAATGAAAGTTAGTCCTCTGAACACACACACACAGACACACAGACACACACACACACACACACACACACACACACACACACACACACACACACACACACACACACACACACACAGAGCAGCCTGTGTCGCCTTAGGGTGCTCATATAGGACCAGTGTGAATGAAATGCAGGACAAGTTAAAGATCTTGAATGCAGGACATTTGTGTGTTAGGCTTAATGCCGTCTATAAAAACAAAACACATTTCTTTGTGGAGAAACTTGCTTACAGCGGTGTTTGCCATCAACACGGCTGTGAGGATGATGGCGCCGGGTCAGGGCGCCGCAGCAGGAGCTCGGGTTGTGTGCTGTCTGCTCCATGTTGTTCGCACTTGTATTGAAACTGTTTTTGTTGATCGATTTTTTTTGGTGACAGTTGTTAAAGGAGTATGTACAAATCTGGCCCACTCTACCTGACTCAGGTTGCCAGATATGCAGACAAATCCAGCTGGGGCCATAACAGCTGAATAGACAAGAGTTTTGTCAACAACAAATTTATATCCAACACCTTTTTCACAAAGGGCCCCGATAGAAATCTTCGTTTTATTCCTTGTTTTGAATGATTTGAGATTTCGTAAAACTAATTTTGAAATTCTAATCTCAGCTGAACAACTGATATCAATTAAATAAGTATTCAAAAAGAGCAGAGTTTAATAATGCCTTTTGACAGATTAGGGCCATTTAATGATGACTTGACATGAACTTCTTACATATTTCTACTTTACAGGTCAGCTCTTGAGATGTAGTTGTTCCTTTAACGAAGTCGAGCTGTATGAGGGAAAAAAAGGTATGTTTAGGTCCTCAGCTACTTGGAATCAGCTTTAGGCAACCACAGAATGTTTTTTAAAGAAAACACGAAACAACAACGTTTGATTAAATGGTGAATTATGAAGTGAAATGTTTATTCAGTATCGGGTCATCTTGTATTGCAACTGCTTTTATTCTGTATGTTTGAACTAGTGGGGTGGACCCCAGAAGAAGACTAGGGATCCAAATAAATAAGAGTACAATGACCAATGATTCATTTATTTTTATCTATAGGTCATTTTAATTTCTCGCTGACCTACAGTGAAGAGTCAAGAGTGTTGGTCCGTCAGTTTGCCCCAGGGAGATGACCATTCTGAACCAAAGATGAATGACAGTATGAAGCAGTAGTGAGCGGGCGGGGGGAGGCTGACAAAGCCCCGCCCCCTCCTCACAGCTCATTGTCTTGTCTGTGATTGGCTCATTAGCAGAAGGTGAGTCTGCACTGCATTATGGACACTCCTGAGCTTCAAAGACACTGCCTCTGCTCTTTGACAAGCATGAGCCTCTTCATCCACACAACCTTTATCAAGAGTAGATCTTCAGACTCTGGTTTCAAACTGATCACAGATGTAGTATCAGTGCACACTGCAGATTTTCTATTTTGAAATGCACTAGTATTCTATTAGTAAAATGTTCAGTCATCATCGTACAAGTCATTGGACCTGAACGTCGGAGGGACCGTATCTCAGCTGGCCTGGGAACACCTCGGGATACCCCTGAGAGGGGTATCCCGAGGTGTATCCATGATAGGATCTGGAGAGTCCAGGACCATGGACAGTCCCTGTCCCTTAGCCTGGGTTCCAGTCTGATATCAGGGCTGATTCGTTTCACAGTCTTCCTCAGAATAGCAGACTGTATGCCACGCGACCAGTCTCACAAGTTCATTTTGTCGACAAATCATTTCTTTACTGCACACACACATTTTACAGAGCTATTCAGTTGGATGGATTTGATTTACACACTTTTGGGTGTGTGTGTGTGGTGTAACTGTGTGTGACTGTGAATGTGGCCGTGCATGTGTGTTCATATGTGTGTATGTGTGTGTGTCAATGTGGGCGTGTTTCAGTGTGCGCGTGGGCGTGAGTGTGTGAGTGCCAGTCATCTGTGGGTTGGGGGCGTTGTTCGTGTGTGTGTGTGTATTTGGTGAGCATCAGCTCATAAAAAGATGAATATTCTTGAGAGAGAGAATAAGTCAAAACAAAAGGGAGACGAGGGAACGTCAAGACGACAGAGGAACAGAAGACGACTGGGAATAATGACAGCAGCTGTGGTGGGAGCAGTGTTAGTTTAGTTTTAGTCTTCATCTTTTGACTAAAATGACCTTTGATCTTAAAAATTAAGACATTACAACACGATAAGGAGGCTGTCCGCTGCAGTAACATACAGCTGACTACAAATACAACACACACAGTTTATTTGTATAGCACAGTTCATACACAAGGCCACTCAAAGTGCTAAAAAAAGAGAGAAATAACTAAATAATAAAGAAAATAGATACAAATGTGTCAAATCTATCTCAGCCAAACAGATTTGAACATTGTCAGAGTCTGTCTAAAGTGTTAAGGAAAACCTCCAGATTTAGTTATGCTGCCTCCCCATGTTTAGTCCAGAGTTTGGGTCCCTGTGCTCCTCAGAGTCCCAGTTGGTTCATATGGCTCGAACATGTCACAGATGTACTTTGGTGCGAGGCCATGTAAAGGTACAACACACTCAGAAAAAAGCTAAAACAGAAATCATGTTAGCGACACCGTTCAACAAGGTGCGCTGTGATTGGCTCTCATCCCACTTCTCATTTCGTCTGAATTTTGTCAGTGCTCATTTTTATCAACGTTTAAGTCACAGATTCTTTCCGTCATAGATTTCATCCACAAAATGAATTTTGGGTGAGAGGGGCAAAACAACAACACAACATTCAAGCTTCATGTTTGTGGTTGTAACATGTCAGAAAGTGCAAAAGTTCAAGCTGTATTATCACTTCCACAAGGACCTGTATGAGATCAGAAATACCAAACTCAGGCCAGTGACCATTTTTAGTGTCATCATAGTAAAAAGAAGAGAATTTAGAAATATTTTATGTACAGATACCTGCCGCAGAATACTGTACAGACTGTATATGTGAGTATATCCGTAATACGTGCTTGTAATCTAAAGCCAATTAACCATCACAATCACAGCCTGTGCTTTGTGCCCATGCCTGGATAATAACATAACGCTAGTGGTGGTCTCGTCTCGCTGCGGCCAGTGCGGAACAGAGAGTGGTATTAATATAGCAGCTCTCCAAAGCAGGCGTGGGGAAGGCTGAGTGCGGGCCTCGTACAAGGGCCTGTTTGCACCAATCACCATGATTACGCTGAGAGGGCCGAGGCGCAGGCGGTAAACAAAGTGCTTGTGCGGAGCTGGACCCGCCATGACCCACACATGAGGCTACACATGACCCACACATGACCCACACATGAGGCTACACATGACCCACACATGACCCACACATGAGGCTACACATGAGGCTACACATGACCCACACATGAGGCTACACATGACCCACACATGAGGCTACACATGAGGCTACACATGACCCACACATGAGGCTACCCATGACCCACACATGACCCACACATGAGGCTACACATGACCCACACATGAGGCTACACATGACCCACACATGAGGCTACCCATGACCCACACATGAGGCTACACATGACCCACACATGAGGCTACACATGAGGCTACACATGACCCACACATGAGGCTACACATGACCCACACATGAGGCTACACATGACCCACACATGAGGCTACACATGAGGCCACACATGAGGCTACACATGACCCACACATGAGGCTACACATGACCCACACATGAGGCTACACATGAGGCTGCACATGACCCACACATGAGGCTACACATGACCCACACATGAGGCTACCCATGACCCACACATGAGGCTACACATGACCCACACATGAGGCTACACATGAGGCTGCACATGACCCACACATGAGGCTACACATGAGGCTACACATGAGGCTACACATGACCCACACATGAGGCTACACATGAGGGTACACATGACCCACACATGAGGCTACACATGAGGCTGCACATGAGGCTACACATGACCCACACATGAGGCTACACATGACCCACACATGAGGCTACACATGAGGCTGCACATGACCCACACATGAGGCTACACATGAGGCTACACATGAGGCTACACATGACCCACACATGAGGCTACACATGAGGCTACCCATGACCCACATATGAGGCTACACATGATGACCCACACATGAGGCTACACATGAGGCTACACATGACCCACACATGAGGCTACACATGACCCACACATGAGGCTACACATGACCCACACATGAGGCTACACATGAGGCCACACATGAGGCTACACATGACCCACACATGAGGCTACACATGACCCACACATGAGGCTACACATGAGGCTGCACATGACCCACACATGAGGCTACACATGACCCACACATGAGGCTACCCATGACCCACACATGAGGCTACACATGACCCACACATGAGGCTACACATGAGGGTACACATGACCCACACATGAGGCTACACATGAGGCTGCACATGACCCACACATGAGGCTACACATGAGGCTACACATGAGGCTACACATGACCCACACATGAGGCTACACATGAGGCTACCCATGACCCACATATGAGGCTACACATGAGGCTACACATGACCCACACATGAGGCTACACATGAGGCTACACATGACCCACACATGAGGCTACACATGACCCACACATGAGGCTACACATGACCCACACATGAGGCTACACATGAGGCCACACATGAGGCTACACATGAGGCTACACATGACCCACACATGAGGCTACACATGAGGCTACCCATGACCCACACGTGAGGCTACACATGAGGCTACACATGACCCACACATGACCCACACATGAGGCTACACATGAGGCTACACATGACCCACACATGAGGCTGGAAGTCTCCAGTGACATGTCTCAATGACTACCGCCCTGTGGCTCTCACGTCTGTTCTTATGAAGACTTTTGAGCGGCTCGTGCTGGACTTCATTAAGAGCCAGATCCCTGTGAGTGTTGACCCGCTCCAGTTTGCTTACAGACAGAACAGGAGTGTGGAGGATGCCATCTCCTTTGCTCTGAACTCTGTCTACAGTCACTTGGACACTAGTAAATCTGTGGTCAGAATGCTTTTCATCGATTATAGCTCTGCTTTTAATTGTCTTGTCCCAAGCATATTGGTTGAAAAACTAATGTCCCTTGGTCTGAATGTTGCCATGTGTAAGGCTATATCCACACGAAGACAAAACGCGTATAATTTCAGAAACTTTTTCTGTAAACACGGAGTTAGCTCAGTAAATGTGTGCGTCCATATGAATGTAGTCAATACGCCTGAAAACGCTGTGAAACTATGCCAGACCTGTTGGTGGCGCTGTGACGCAATGACGGGATCAAGCCCAAACTTCCGTGACGGGAACTGGGCATGCGCAGAATTTTGTAAACAGACAACATGGCGAGTGGGCGAGCTGGTACTACATTAGTATGGACGGACGATGAGGTTGAACTGTTGCTTCGGGTCACACTGGATTACAAAACCAACAAGCTACATTGTTGTTGTCATTATTTTCTGAGTGCGGCGCATGCGTGCTTCAACAAGAGGCGGGGCGATGACGCAAGCGTCTCAGATACATTGCGGAGAGGCAGTAACCACGGAGCGGCATATACGGAGTTTTGAAATCTTTCCACTCTGGGACCTAGTTTCAAAAATGTTCGTTTACACCCCCCCCAAAACGCCGGCCTCGTATGGACGATACACTGGATTGATAAAGTATTTTTGCGTTTAGGCCTGAGCTTGACTTCGTGTGGACAGGGCCTTAATGGATTTTTAGCTTTTTAACTGACAGATCTCAGAGAGTAAAAATCAATGACTGTTTTTCTGATGTTGTTTCTGTGAGCACTGGTTCTCCTCAGGGATGTATTTTGAGTCCTCTGCTCTTTACTTTGTACACTCACGATTGTGTGTCCTCCTCTGACTCTAACTTGATCATCAAATATGCTGATGACACCACCATCATCGGTCTCATCAGTGACAATGATGATTCCTCTTATAGAGCAGAGATACAAAATGTGGTTCAGTGGAGTAAAGTAAACAATCTCCAGCTGAACACTGCAAAAACATGTGAACTTGTCTTTGACTTCAGTCGTAGCAGTTCTCACATTCCTGTTGTTATTGACAACTCCCAGGTGCAGATCGTAGAGGAGTGCAAGTTTCTGGG